TTTTTCTCTTTGCAGTTTTTTTTCTTCCCTTTCTCTTGTTGCAGGTACTGACGACGGCCGGACGGGATGTTCTCTACTGAGGGTGCTGTTGGCGGTTTCCGAGTTGAGTTCGTTCCATGTTTAATTTCATGTGTTTTTTTTTTCTTAGTGTTTTATTGTATCGTGGGGCCCCTGTGTTTTGTATGTGTAGGTGTTGAAGTCAAAGACTTACTTTCCAAAATGCAATATAGCCATTTGGAATACTGGTGCCAAATGTCTCGAGTTTTAAGACTCCAGAGATTAACTGCCAGTAGAAAAGCTGGCTCTCAAGCAAAATTCTTCCCAAAAGTGAGGAAAAATGGCGTTATGGCCTTTGGAAGGAAAAGTCTTTGAATTGATGTTGAAATTAAGTTGAGAATGGATGTAGACTCACAAACACCGTTTTCTTTTTCTCTCTTTGCAGTTTTTTTTTCTTCCCTTTCTCTTGTTGCAGGTACTGACGACGGCCGGGACGGGATGTTCTCTACTGAGGGTGCTGTTGGCGGTTTCCGAGTTGAGTTCGTTCCATGTGTTTTTTTTTTTCTTAGTGTTTTATTGTATCGTGGGGCCCCTGTGTTTTGTATGTGTAGGTGTTGAAGTCAAAGACTTACTTTCCAAAATGCAATATAGCCATTTGGAATACTGGTGCCAAATGTCTCGAGTTTTAAGACTCCAGAGATTAACTGCCAGTAGAAAAGCTGGCTCTCAAGCAAAATTCTTCCCAAAAAGTGAGGTTATATGGCCTTTGGAAGGAAAAGTCTTTGAATTGATGTTGAAATTAAGTTGAGAATGGATGTAGACTCACAAACACCGTTTTCTTTTTCTCTTTGCAGTTTTTTTTTTTCCCTTTCTCTTGTTGCAGGTACTGACGACGGCCGGGACGGGATGTTCTCTACTGAGGGTGCTGTTGGCGGTTTCCGAGTTGAGTTCGTTCCATGTTTAATTTTGTTTTTCTTAGTGTGTTTATTGTATCGTGGGGCCCCTGTGTTTTGTATGTGTAGGTGTTGAAGTCAAAGACTTACTTTCCAAAATGCAATATAGCCATTTGGAATACTGGTGCCAAATGTCTCGAGTTTTAAGACTCCAGAGATTAACTGCCAGTAGAAAAGCTGGCTCTCAAGCAAAATTCTTCCCAAAAAGTGAGGAAAAATGGCGTTATGGCCTTTGGAAGGAAAAGTCTTTGAATTGATGTTGAAATTAAGTTGAGAATGGATGTAGACTCACAAACACCGTTTTCTTTTTCTCTTTGCAGTTTTTTTTTTTCTTCCTTTCTCTTGTTGCAGGTACTGACGACGGCCGGGACGGGATGTTCTCTACTGAGGGTGCTGTTGGCGGTTTCCGAGTTGAGTTCGTTCCATGTTTAATTTCATGTGTTTTTTTTTTCTTAGTGTTTTATTGTATCGTGGGGCCCCTGTGTTTTGTATGTGTAGTGTTGAAGTCAAAGACTTACTTTCCAAAATGCAATATAGCCATTTGGAATACTGGTGCCAAATGTCTCGAGTTTTAAGACTCCAGAGATTAACTGCCAGTAGAAAAGCTGGCTCTCAAGCAAAATTCTTCCCAAAAGTGAGGAAAAATGGCGTTATGGCCTTTGGAAGGAAAAGTCTTTGAATTGATGTTGAAATTAAGTTGAGAATGGATGTAGACTCAACAAACACCGTTTTCTTTTTCTCTTTGCAGTTTTTTTTTTTTCCCTTTCTCTTGTTGCAGGTACTGACGACGGCCGGGACGGGATGTTCTCTACTGAGGGTGCTGTTGGCGGTTTCCGAGTTGAGTTCGTTCCATGTTTTTTTTTTTTTCTTAGTGTTTTATTGTATCGTGGGGCCCCTGTGTTTTGTATGTGTAGGTGTTGAAGTCAAAGACTTACTTTCCAAAATGCAATATAGCCATTTGGAATACTGGTGCCAAATGTCTCGAGTTTTAAGACTCCAGAGATTAACTGCCAGTAGAAAAGCTGGCTCTCAAGCAAAATTCTTCCCAAAAAGTGAGGAAAAATGGCGTTATGGCCTTTGGAAGGAAAAGTCTTTGAATTGATGTTGAAATTAAGTTGAGAATGGATGTAGACTCACAACACACCGTTTTCTTTTTCTCTTTGCAGTTTTTTTTCTTCCCTTTCTCTTGTTGCAGGTACTGACGACGGCCGGGACGGGATGTTCTCTACTGAGGGTGCTGTTGGCGGTTTCCGAGTTGAGTTCGTTCCATGTTTAATTTCATGTGTTTTTTTTTCTTAGTGTTTTATTGTATCGTGGGGCCCCTGTGTTTTGTATGTGTAGGTGTTGAAGTCAAAGACTTACTTTCCAAAATGCAATATAGCCATTTGGAATACTGGTGCCAAATGTCTCGAGTTTTAAGACTCCAGAGATTAACTGCCAGTAGAAAAGCTGGCTCTCAAGCAAAATTCTTCCCAAAAAGTGAGGAAAAATGGCGTTATGGCCTTTGGAAGGAAAAGTCTTTGAATTGATGTTGAAATTAAGTTGAGAATGGATGTAGACTCACAAACACCGTTTTTTTTTTTCTTTTTCTCTTTGCAGTTTTTTTTTTCCCTCCTTTCTCTTGTTGCAGGTACTGACGACGGCCGGGACGGGATGTTCTCTACTGAGGGTGCTGTTGGCGGTTTTCCGAGTTGAGTTTTCGTTCCATGTTTTTTTTTTTTTCTTAGTGTTTTATTGTATCGTGGGGCCCCTGTGTTTTGTATGTGTAGGTGTTGAAGTCAAAGACTTACTTTCCAAAATGCAATATAGCCATTTGGAATACTGGTGCCAAATGTCTCGAGTTTTAAGACTCCAGAGATTAACTGCCAGTAGAAAAGCTGGCTCTCAAGCAAAATTCTTCCCAAAAGTGAGGAAAAATGGCGTTATGGCCTTTGGAAGGAAAAGTCTTTGAATTGATGTTGAAATTAAGTTGAGAATGGATGTAGACTCACAAACACCGTTTTCTTTTTCTCTTTGCAGTTTTTTTTCTTCCCTTTCTCTTGTTGCAGGTACTGACGACGGCCGGGACGGGATGTTCTCTACTGAGGGTGCTGTTGGCGGTTTCCGAGTTGAGTTCGTTCCATGTTTAATTTCATGTGTTTTTTTTTCTTAGTGTTTTATTGTATCGTGGGGCCCCTGTGTTTTGTATGTGTAGGTGTTGAAGTCAAAGACTTACTTTCCAAAATGCAATATAGCCATTTGGAATACTGGTGCCAAATGTCTCGAGTTTTAAGACTCCAGAGATTAACTGCCAGTAGAAAGCTGGCTCTCAAGCAAATTCTTCCCAAAAGTGAGGAAAAATGGCGTTATGGCCTTTGGAAGGAAAAGTCTTTGAATTGATGTTGAAATTAAGTTGAGAATGGATGTAGACTCACAAACAACAGTTTTCTTTTTCTCTTTGCAGTTTTTTTTTTCTTCCTTTCTCTTGTTGCAGGTACTGACGACGGCCGGGACGGGATGTTCTCTACTGAGGGTGCTGTTGGCGGTTTCCGAGTTGAGTTCGTTCCATGTTTAATTTCATGTGTTTTTTTTTTCTTAGTGTTTTTATTGTATCGTGGGGGCCCCTGTGTTTTGTATG